GTAGCAGTAATAAAAACCTTTTTGGGAAAAGGATAATAAAATTATTGGGGAGCTCAGAGGTTAAGACGCTGAGTTGCGAACTGGAAGGTTGGCAGCTGTCAGGACAGTCAATCACTTCAGCAGACACTTCCAAGAAGGTTTTACTTTATTGTGAGAACTATGGTAGCATAAACATATTCCCTGTTAGGAATAACTAATACTAAGCAAGCAGGTATAGATATAGTACACTCAAAGGCCCCCCCCACCATCAATGGGCCAATTGGGCACTCTCCCGTGGGTTGGAGTGTAGGCGAGGAAACGAAACCAGTCCCACGGTTGCGAGCTACAAGGTCAGTGATAAGGAGTAGAGGCGCAGAGGGGAATGGAATGCAGGCCTGGCTGGTACACAGGTCAAGCGAGCGAACTGAAACCCATAAACCTTATGGCAGCGTAGCTGACAGTCTGCCCGCCCCAAAATCCATCTCCCGCCCGTTCCGGGAGATTCTCCCGGGCATTCAGGGAGACCTCCCGGTCAGTCCGGGAAAGCTCGGTGAAGACTACTGCTGCGTGATGGAGTGGGCGCCCATCTCTGGCCCCAGCTCCTGCCAACCTAGCAGTTTGAAAGCAAGAAATTGCAAGTAGATAAATAGGTACCATTTTGGTGGGAAGGTAAAAGTGTTCCATGCGCCTCAGCATTTAGTCATGCTGGCTCTTCGGCTTGGAAATGGAGATGAGCACCGCCCCCTAGAGTCGGATTCGACTGACTTTCGAGCAAGGGAAACCTTTACCTTTATAACTGTCATGGCTGTACTTGCAAGACTGATTTAAAGTCGTGTGCATGAGCACAGGCTGAATGTTATTCACAGAAGGAGCTAAAAAACAAGCACGGCTTCTACGAGATTGATTCCCACACTGGCCTCTGTTAGAGGAATCTTGTGTACTGGACATATTTTCTTTTTGTAAGATCTTCTAGGAGACCTTTCCGCAAAGGCTAGGACAAGGAATGATTGGTTGAGAGCACTCCTGGAGCTCTTAAAATCTTTTTCTCTTGCATGTCCCCCCCCCCAGAGTCACAAGTTTGTCGGCAGCCTCTGATGGCAACCCCTCTCTTGCTCAAGTGGTATCTCTTTTCCCGGGGGATTCTTAAAGAAGAAAAAGGAGCTAGAAGGTGGAGCCATAGGTTTATCTCTGTGAACATGGAACTGCACGTGGGGGCCATGACTTGGGGACACGAAGAAGAAGAAGAAGAAGAAGAGGAGGAGGAGGAGGAGGAGGAGGAGTTTGGATTTATACCCCACCCTTCACTTGGAGTCTCAAAGCGGCTTACAAACTCCTTTCCCTCCCCCTCCCCACAACAGACACCCTGTGAGGTAGGTGGGGTTGAGAGAGCTCTGACAGAAACTGCTCTTTTTCAAGAACAGCTCTTGTCAGAACTACGGCTTGCCCAAGGTCATCCAGCAGGTGCAAGTGGAGGAGTGGGGAATCAAACCCGGTTCTCCCAGATTAGAGTCCGCGCACTTCACCACTACACCGAACTGGCTCTCAAAGGCGTTAGAAACACTTTCGAAAACTTCTGTAGCTTCTGGGGAAGGTGGGGAGTCTTCTACAAACAAGTGGCGAATCCCCCACACAAGGATCCTGTGGCAGCCATTTTGTGGCTGGCTGTGCCTGCTGTGGCAGCCATTTTGGGGCCATGCCCACCACACTGTCTCAGAATTCCAAAGGTGCCCGAAGGCTCAAAAAGTTTGGGGACCCCTGTCTGGTCAGATGCTCATAGAGGAATCGCTCTGAGCTGAACTGTGCTCGTTTGCTTAACCAACGATGCCTGCTCTGAAAAAGCGAGGGCTAGACCCTAGCCTTTTATTTTTGTATACAAAACTCCGGACGCCAAGATTATCCAACGAGGTTCTTCGAGGCCATGCCGGCTTGCTTGCGTGCCTGTGCTGAGAGCCACCGGCTACATTCCGCTGCTTTGAAATCAAATCCGACGGTGGGCAGCGGATAATTTGACAGCCCGGCCCACGGCTCCGTGCCCATAAATATGATTGACTGACGTAGCTAATACCACTGGAAAGAATTTCAAAAGAGGACGCTCGCTGTTTGGTTAGCCGGGTTAGGAAAGGGCACAGATTTGCAAAGGTTTCGACGCTATGTTTAGAGAGAATCGTTTATATCGAGAGTTTTATCCCTACAAAACAAGCCGTTTTAAACTCTCTTCATTTTCAAACAGCTAATCCCTGACATTAACCAGCAAACGACTGTTTACAGATATATTAATGAAAGGATTCCAAAACTGGAAAACAAAGAGCTCATTGGTGACCAGAACGGACTTATCCCTTGATGGCTTTGACACCAAGTGACGAGTCGACTGTGGGAATGGGCTCAAGCACATACCGTCCCTCTCCACAGACAGAACTTTCTGACTACTTTGAAATGGAAGGCTTTCCAGCAGAGTCAATTTATGCATCTGGCAACCGCTAATCAAGGACAAAGTAATGGGAGTGTGTGTGGGGGATCAAGGACAAAGTAATGGGAGTGTGTGTGTGGGGGGGAAATCTTGCACTTATAGATATCAGACAACCTTTTTGGGCAGTCTGATTTGTGAGAGGCAGGGCTATTTTTGGGCCGGAACGCACAGGAACGGAGTTCCGGCTGGCTTCAGAGCTGGCCACACCCACAACAGCCAAAACCTCTGCATGTGTGGCTACAGACGGAAGGCCTGGAGAGCGACCCACCCCCCATTTAAATGCCTCCCCGTGCCTTCCCCGGCCTGTCCAAGGGCCGGCTTGCCCAGGCTCCCCGTAGCCACGGAGCACTTGGTCAAGCCAAGCGAAGGCAATTTAACGCGCCTCCCGTCAAGGGGGGGGGGGGGCTTGCCCGGGTTCCCCGCAGCTGCGGGCGCCCAGGCAAGCCAAGGGAAGGCATAGGGGTGTGGCCCAATATGCTAATGAGTTCCTGCTGTTGGGTGTGGCCTATTATGCTAATGAGTTCCTGCTGGGCTTTTTCTACAAAAAAAGCCCTGGCTGAGAGGAATGTCTTTGGGGCCTCACACTAGCAACTGCAGATTTTACAGTCACGTTCGTCAGCGAGACATTCCTCTGTATGCATTAGGGTTGCCGGGTCTTACCCGTAGCTGCGGCAGGGGAGTGCTAGCCTTCCCTTGGACTTCTTCAGTGCGTGTGCAACGTGCGCGCGCCGCGAGGGCATCACCCAGAAGTGACATTATCGCGTCAGGCATGTTGGGGGAGGGACCGCTATCATTCGAGCAGAATTTCCCCTCAAATGAGTTTTCCCCTGCAACGTGCCCGGTGGGATGACGTCTCCACGATCCTGGCACTTTGGGGGCGGGGTTCCCCCCCGGCAATGCCCCCTCTAAGCTAAGCAGAGTGACCAGGGTCTGCCCTGGCAATGCTCCCTCTAAGCTGTGAAGTCCTGTGAGCAAAAATTCTACTCTGTGAGCTCCTGGCGCTAAACTTGTGAGCGAGCGGTTTTGCTGCTACATAAATTAGATTGCTCCGGAGCCATCTTTCCTGAGCAAAGACAAAAATGTGTGAGCCGGAGGCTAAAAAACTGTTAGCCGGAGGCTAAAAAAACCTGTAGGCTAGCTCACAGTAACTCAGCTTAGAGGGAACACTGTCCCCCGGTGGCCCAATCCGAGCCAGCGGGTAAGGGGCCATCGAGCGGGCAAACCCCCGCCTCCCCGGGGGAACTGGCAATCCTAGTATGCATGAGATGGATGGAGGGACCACAAGATTCTGCTCCACAACTTCTTGGCCTTCATTCCTCGGGGGCTATTTCCTGGACTATTTCTCTTGCCTGGACTATTTCTCTTGCCTGGATGATTTCCCTTGCCAACATCTAAGACTCTAGACCCAGCAACCCGGTGCTCCTCGCCCCCAGGCCTTCCTTGCGTATCCACTTCCTTCCTGCTGCCAGT